ATCTTATTATAATCAACATGGATCATTATGATAGATACGAATCTATAATAAAACTAGGACAAAATCACTCCATATGTTGATGAAATGTCAATCAACTATGGGTGAGGGGGAAATCGTAACCCTGCTCGCAAACTGAACTCATACACCATCAAAAAACCTAGAGGAGGAGAGCAAGCATTATTTGGATTTGCAGGCACCTTCATTACATGATCATTAGGGAAGTAAAAATTCTTCCTGAAAATGATTAAGAAGTTATCATTTATGGTACTTACGACATCGCCATCCTTAGCCACCTTTGAGTTTTCTTCATGAAAGTCTATATTGGTTGTTAGACCTATTATAATTATCTCAATGCTAACCAAGAGGGGGGGGGGGGGGTGAATTGATTATTTAAAAAACTCTTATAAATTTTTACAGAAAACTATTTTTTAATAATTTTATGCACAATAAAAGTTTTAACAAAATAAAATCTTTTTAACCACAAAATTAAAATTATAGAAATTAAAAATACGGTAAAATAAAAACATAGAAATTTGTAGTGGTTCAGTCCAACTAGACCTACATTCACTTCCTAAAGACTCCATCTTCAGGTATTGCATTATTATCAAAGTGACTCTCATTTTGCTCCCACAGCAAGGTGGAGAAGCATTTATAATTACCCTCTCTTCCGCCAATCCTCGATGGGTCAGAGTACCGTCATCCTTTTACACCCTCTAAGAATCGGCAAAGTACCATCATCCTTTCACACCCTCCAAGTATTGATAGAGAATCGGCGTCCTTTCACATACTCTTGGTGTCAGCAGAGAATCGATGTCCTTTCACACCTTCTCGGTGTCGGCAGAGAACCAACATCCTTCCACACCCTCTTGGTGTCGGTAGAGTACCATATATTCTCCAAAGATCTTCTCTCGAGCGTCTTTAAAGAAGTAAGGAAGAGATTTGACAAACTTACAAAGAGATTCTCACCTTTGGATAACTTTGTGAACCCTTCACAAATTCCACCTGTAAGATCTCTCTCAAACACTCTCCCAAAGCACTCTTACACTTGCTCTCAAAGAAAATATGAAGAAGGATTCATCCACAGTCCGTTTTTTGGACTTTATATATGAAAGGCATGAAAAACCATCCAAAAAATTGAAAATTTCAATTTGACCGTCCATGATCGTGTAGCATAATTGTACATCATATATACGATCAGTACAAAATTTGCTTGTACGATCCTGTATAAACCAATTTTGTGCTCTGATTGGCGTCTGTATGAATTGACATCGTATAATATGATCAGTTCAAAATTGAAACAAATCATTTGATACGATTCTATACGAACTGATTTCGTACACTAGAAGTCATTTGTATGAACCCGATATCATATAGTACGAACTATTTTAATCAAATCATATTTAGTTCAGTATGAAAATGGACGAGTCCTTTTCGTATTCTGGAAGTCATTTGTATAAACCCAAGTTCATATATACGAACAGTACAAAAAATTTACATGTTCATGAAATGATACACACCAATTTCGTAATATGGATGTCATCTGTACAAACCCATGCTTGTATTGTACGAACAATTCAAAAAATTTACTTGTTTGTATGGATGAAAAGATACGCACCAATTTCGTACTATGAATGTCGTCTGTACGAAGGAAACTTTGTATAGTACGAACATTACTTAGAAAAAATTTTCAAACCCGATTTGATTAAACTACTTTTGAAGGAATGATCAGGTCAAATCATTCCGTATGATCCAAAATTGTATAGTACGATTAGTTTAAAAATTATAAATTTTTACACTCCCACAGTATGTGTGTGCACGGTTACCTAATTACAATCACTTTATCTCTAACTTAAGAGAAAATATAAAAAGTACAGACTTCAAATACAATAAACCCTAATCTAATCTGTCTTGAAGTCTTCAACAGTATGGAGTATGATTTTTCTGAAATATTTGTACACACAAACAACAAAAGCAATATTTTTAATATATGTTAGGAGAAACAGTAATCAATACAATAATATTTTGGAATCATAAAAAACACACATGATATAAAAACATAGTTATGAAAACTATGTTGCAACAATCTTCTCCTTTTTTATGGTGGCAAAACAATTATTATTTGAGTTAACATTCAAATAAATTTTCTCCTTAGATCCCCTAAATGAATGACCCATTAAAGAAAAATAAGAGATTCCCATGAAGATTAAAAATAACAACCCTAAAAATTAAAAAGAAATAAAAACTAACTACGAACACCAAAAAATAAAGACAAAAAAAAAAAAAGAATACATGCATAAACAACGCACACAAACACAATATAACACATGCACACATGCAACACACATGCATCAATCATTAAACAATATTATAAAAATACAAAAAATGCACACATACATCAATCATCAAATAATAATATAACTCCCCCTTTTGATAACAATAAAAAGGGAAGTAGTTCTTAAAATGAAAGGTTTCTATAGATAAACCAAAAGAGTTGAAGAAGAAAATAATTTTAAATTAATTACAAGTACAATATTAATTTTGTAATACTAAAAAGAAAATTTTTAAAATGTTAAATCAAAGAATAACAATGATAAGAAAAGTCAACTAGGTTTATTATTCATGTTAGATAAATTAAATAAAAATAATAATTGCAAAAATGACGAAATAAAGATTAGTTAATTTCGAATTCAATATAGAATATGATTGTTAATTAGATGGATTGGGATTAGAGATTGAATGATAAAGGAAAGAAAATATAATGTTTTCAACTGACAACATTGTGTATTTTTTCAAATATTTATTACACACTTTGTTCATCTTTTCTATTTGTGCTAATTGTGTGCTTTTTTTTTTACTTTGCGAACTATTGCGCATCTTTTTTATTTGTACATGCTTTGTGCATCTTTTATTTATTTTTTTACTTTTCAGGTCTTTTCAATATTAGTAATCTAAATTCAAATACCACTAATAACAAAAAATAAAAATATTGAAAAAGAAAAAATAATAATAAGACATCAATCTTGCAACAATTATAGCTTAGATATGTTTGTCTATAAGAACATGAAATTGATTTTCTTATGTAAATCTAGTTATAATTTTAATTTAAATTTTTGAAAAATTAAATTTTGTAAGAAAATTAATTTGTAGAGCAAAGTAATTGATAAACCATTTCATTAATCAACTACTAAAGTTTTTTTTTATTATTAAAAACATAAACATTTCAAGAAATGTAATTCAATGCAAGTGACATTCCAATGATATCAAGGAGCACATACAATCACATTTCTCATTTCATTCCACATAACAACATCAACAACATCATCACGGAGATTTAAAACAACATATTAAAATACTAAACTCATAGAAGAAATATCAAAAAAGCAAACACAAAAACTCATAAGTAATAATGACAAGAAGTATATCTAGAAATCATAGGATCCTTGTTCTGGAGGAGGTGGTGGGTTGAACATTGAAAAATAATTATTCATCATGGCTACATTGGTGTTCACCGTATCAAATTGATCACAAATCTAACCCATGTCTTCATAATATCTTGTGTCCTGTTGATTTAAGTGATTCTCAATTTGATCAAAGCGTTGATCAAAATGAATTTCCACTCTATCAAAGTGCTGGACCATTTCTTAATAGAAATGCTAATCAGGTCTAGGAGTAGGTGTAGGTGTAGGTGTAGGAGCTCCCCCTTCTCCCTCTGAATCATCACTCTCAAATCTCTAATCTCTCCTAAAAAGTGCCTGAAAAGATGCACCAGTGAAGTAGATAGGGAGTTTAATGGAGGATCAAGATGGTTAATATTATACTTCTTTTATAAGATATAGACAACTAGATGTCCTAAAGCCACATTTTTTTTCTCTTATGATGTGGAAGTCCAATTTCAGAAATATTATAAATATAATCCACAATGAGTTAGACTTCATCAAAAGGCTTTTTAGTCATAATCATATAAGTGACTGTGGACAAAAGTGAAGTCATATTTATGCGATCACCAGCTTTTGGAATAATCAAAGTTCTCAAAATGTTCTGGATGATCTAGGCATTCTGATTGAGTGTGTAAACAAGAGATAAATGACTCACTTGGGCGATACCTCTAAGAGTTTGATTAATTTCAGACTAATCATAGTCGACTCTAGAGATTAGTGTATGGGCTATAATCCCTTGGGTTCTCAAGTGAAGAAAGTTGCCTAAATCTTTCTTTATAATTTTTACTCGTTGTTTCTGAATATAGGAAGTAATCCCAGAGTGATCTTGATTTACTCGCATGTTGGCCAAAAAGTATTGGAAAGTCTTTTTGTGGTTGGCATATATGAGAGTAAAGATAAATGAAAGTTGAGTAGAAGCAAATAAGGGCATGATTGAAAAATAAATATCACTCTGTATGAGAAGTCGGGAAGGGGTGAATTTAGCCGCAAAATACCTAAAGAAGACATTCTCATTCTATTTGGATAAGAAGTTATCATCAATAGTCTTAGAAGAAGATCACTTTGAAGTGTGGGGTAGTTTTCTTGAACCAGCCATTCCTAAGATATGAGCTCTAGAGATTTTGAAATGAATATGAAAGTGAATGAAAAATTTTTGCAAAGACTCTTCTATTTAAAGGAAACTGACCTATAGTACAGTACAAAATTTAGATCGTATGTATGATTTTAAATGTATATTATTTTTTATAATGTATATTATATGAATTAATAATATAAATTTATATATTATATTAAATATTATTCTTATTACACATAAACCCTAAATTTAATATTATAAAGTTATATATTATATTAAAATTTTTAATTTGTTATAATGTATATTATAAGAATCTCATTTATTATAATTATAATGAAATTATTAGATATTAACCGGAAAAACGCGCGAAAGGGAGGGCGATCGTTACCTTCTCAAAAACACCTAAAATGGCGTTCGATTGTAGCATCACCACGCCATTTTGGAGTTTTGGTGAAAAATGAAGTTTTCGGTTGGAGATGCCCTAAGTTCTTCAGCCCGTCAGCAGCGACTGCTTCTCCGATCTCTTCCAGTCAAAAGTGAGCGCGCTTTGTTCCTATTTTTTAAACTTGGCGAGTGATTACCAAACTTACTCTTCATTTATAACTACTCAGATCTGGATTTTTCATTCGTATCGTTTCTCAATTGTTTACGCCGGCGACGATGGCCGTTGCTGAGACTTCCGTTATGTATCACGTCGCCCTGGTTCTGTTCCTCCTCTTCATCCTTAACCACTTCGACCTAGACCACCCTTTCGTTTTCTTCTTCTCCTTCCTCTATCTCTACAAGGTACAGCGTTCTCCGCTTGTTTCAAGTAATTTTTCCTGTGCTAACTTGAGTGAGGTAGTGAAATTTGCTCTTCAGGCATTAGCCTGCAGATTTGACAGATTCAAGTGATTTAAACATTAGTTGTGGGCTAGCGATTCATTCATCAAAATTTAAATTGCGGAGTCTGTGTAAACCATGATAAGACGGCTTTTCTGAGAACATATATGATATTTAATTATACTTTTAGGTCAATCAACGATGTTCAGTAAGACTTTGGAGGCGGCTTCAGAACGAGGAAAGAAAACATGCCAATAGACAAAGGGTATGAAATTTCACCTTCTTTTACTTGTACATTATTGTTTTTAATCGTTTTATGCCTTTATTTGTCTTTTTTCTCTTGAATTATTGCTAGTACCACGATTATTCTGTTTTTTGTTTATTCCTTTTCGATTCCAGCTTTTGTCAGATTCAGAATCCGTGAGATGGTTGAATCATACAGTTGAGAAGGTTTGGCCAATATGTATGGAGCAAATTGCATCACAACAGTTCCTTTTACCCATCATACCGTGGTTCTTAGACAAATTCAAGCCTTGGACTGCGGTATTCTCTCCTTTCGTAGCTAATTTAACATCCATACGGACTAAATTTAGTAGCATGGGATTGTATAGGAATTCTTTTTGGGGCAAAATTTACCTTTTTTTCTTGCAAAATTCTCATGATTCCCGTTATGCTATAAGCAACAGATTTATGTTTTTTCATGTAACATAACTCAAGCTTCAGAAAATGTTATAGTTCAAACATTTTTTAGTTCATGTTTACTTGAAAAACATCATGATTGTCACCTTCGTGTTTGAAGTTTTCTGGGAGAATCCTGCTAGCAAATAACCCATTTTATTGCACTCCATGATCCATAGTATGTATACTTCGTGCTTAAAAGTCTTTGGTTGGATACACATACATTAACTCCAAATGATTTCCAGAAAAAAGCAGTTGTTCAGCACCTATACTTGGGTAGGAATCCACCCATGTTTACGGAGGTACGGGTTCTTCGTGAATCAACTGGTGATGATCATTTGGTATGCATTTCTTTTAATTTTTTTGTTCTACTCTTGTTTAATTTTTGGCATAAATGTTCAAATTTTAAGAAACTGACTTGGTCAGCTCCTGGAGCTGGGATTAAATTTTTTGGCCGCAGATGATATGAGTGCGATTATTGCTGTTAAGTTGAGGAAGAGGTTGGGTTTTGGAATATGGGCAAAAATGCATGTGAAAGGGATGCGTATTGAAGGAAAGGTAAGTTCTAGTTTTTTAGAAAAGTTTTGTTAGCTGATATTTGTTTTTGTACAAATTATAGGTCAGCATCTAGAGTAGGAGCATTCTGAATTTTTTCATATCATTGAAATTTTGGAGAAATCCATTTATTTTACATAAAGTTAATTCTCTGGACATTCAGTTTTTTAGCAGAGCTTGCAAAGTTATACAACCCATGATAGAGGTCTTATATTTATAGTTAATGATCCATGATTCAGTATGTAGGCCTAAGGTTTTTCTTAGCCAACCTTTTTATATATAGGTGTTGTGATGGTTAATGGATTTTGCTGGAGTATAATGTTGGTTGGAGAGAGGAGAGAGCTTTGGCACATGTTCTTGGATGAGCAAGGATTAAGGTTTTGGTGGATGGAATGTATAAGAGGTATATGATGTTCCATTCATGCTCCAAGCTTTCTCCATTAGATGGATGAAGTTTCCTTAGTGTTCTCTAGGTCCAAGTGTTATTCTAAATGGCATATCAAACACATGGAACTCCACTTATCTAGGGCCTAAGAGTTGCTGAGGCAACCTTACCATTGCATTTGCAAGGCGGTCGTTTTCACGGAAAAAACCTAGGTTCCATAGAGGCAATGTAAACATTGCTTCAATAGTATTTACTTTACAATGACAAATCAGTGCTTGCATGAAATAAGAACTAGAGTGCCTATTTGGGAGTTCTCAAGTAAATTAATGGAGAAAACAATGTTATATTTAGGAGGATTTCCTATAGGATTTCATTGATTCAATTCAAGTTACAAAAACTCTAATTGATTGTTTAAAATTAATAAAATAAATTAAAATAAAAAAAAAAACATGACAATTGATAAGGAAGAGAGTTTTTTAAGAGGAACTCCAATTGGATTGCATTGATTGAATTCATTGTATAAAGCCCATTATTATAGTTTTAAAAGTAACAATGTAATAAACAAATAAATATTTTAAAATAAAGAGAAAGATCTAATAAAATCACCCCTTTGGATAGTAGACATTACTTTAAAATTTTTATTTGATGTCATTAAGCTATCAAAAAAGATCTCTTATTTACTTGAGGGGTAACAAACCCATGGCCATGCACTTTTATCCATATTCCCAAATCAACCTACATTTTTCTTATGCCTTCAAAACATAATGTAAATTCTCGACCATGGGGGTTAAACGCTTTATTGAGTGGAATGGTTAATCAAGCACACCATTCATAACTTTAAATGTGTATATAATGGATATGCCTCTCGTTTGCTTATCTAGCCTTGTTCAATATTATTTTGAACATGGTTATTTCATCATATCTCCTTTTGCTATCATTCCTCATTAAGGTTATTGCTGAGAGTTAAGAGCACACATGTTAAAATTGCCTCTTTTTCTTAAAGAGCTGCATTATTTGAAACTCTGGTAGTCCTCTGGCAGTTTTATGTTTTATTTGTGGTGACAGGATTTTTATTGTATCTCTTCATAATTGAAAAAAAAAAAAAGATAAGTATATTTTCTTCTCCATAAACGTGATGTTAATTACTTAAAGAGAGATTAAACCTGACCCTCCGTCAAACTCTTGAGTAATTTCATCCAAAGGTTTTTTTTCTGTGTAGGTCTTGGTTGGAGTGAAGTTTATTCAACGATGGCCATTTATAGGACGTGTTCGAGTTTGCTTTATTGAGCCACCTTACATTCAGATAACTGTCAAACCAATTTTCCATCATGGCATTGATGTTACTGATCTTCCAGGAATTGCAAGCTGGCTGGTAAGATTTTTTAAAATGACAAGAACTGGTTTGTCCTCCACTGCCAATTCGGAAACCTGAAAATAGATTTCCAATGTTTATTCTGATTCTGTAGGATAAAATTATTGATGTTGCATTTGAGCAAACTTTGGTTGAGGTGAGTTGTATATTTGATTCTTCAACCAAATAAGTTCCTCTTGTTAATATGGGAATTGAATATCTTGTTTGTGGTTTTACATTTGTTATATTATTGTTAAGATGCCTTGGAACAAAGATGGTGCGATCTACTTTTCATAAATTCCCATAATTATAAACATGAAGCTTTTCTTTTTCTGATACACTTTTTTATGGTATATAGCTGGTTTCTAATATACACACATTTCTCTCTCAGCCAAACATGCTGGTTATTGATACAGAGAAATTCGCATCAATGGACTCAGGTAACTTATATTTAATTATGAAAGCTTGTTTGGATTTGATTCTATTGAGGATTAATCCACTCTATGTTTGATTTTATTGTTAACCTTTATATTGACACCACCACATTTACCTTTCTTTCACTAGTGAGAAAAAGACAAACTAAAATTTCATGCCACCTTAAGATTTTTATTAGAATTTTTTTTCTCACCATAAAGTTTCTTTCTTGGTCTGTAAGTATTCAGTATTATCATTTTTAAAATTAATTTAAAAAAGAAATGCATGCCGTAGTTCTGTTACCCTTTCTTATCTCAACTCTTTGGGGTCAGTTATGGGAATTATTCTCCATTCGTGATTCCTAAGTGCTGCATGAAGAGGAAGATAATTCGTAATAATCAATTAATAGATGGAAAGATAAGTGTCCTCCTAATTCAACTATTTGGGGGACAACTTCAAAAATTTTCATTATCCATTCATCCTTATTCAGTGATTCATGAGAAGGAAAATAATATCTAATAATTAATTAATAGAGGAAAAATAATCAAACAATACTTTCCATCTTATTTAACTATCTATGTCATGGTAAAAGAGTAAATCCATCATTTATGTTCTCTTTTTGGAAATGATTCTTACTCCCCTAGCTTCCTACTTTGGTTTTATGAAGCATGATTGTTGAAAAATGAATAGATTTGAAGTTTGAGACTATCTTTCTCACCATTAAGTATTTATTATGAGATGCAGAAAATATAAAGAAATTAATTTTACCAAACAAATGCATGGATTTAATTTCATAAACGAGTTTCAACCACTTCCAATCACTTGCCTCAAAACAAACTAGCCCTAAGTAGTCCCTTCTTCTGAATTTATTGGTTTTGTCTATCATTTGTATTTTCCCCCAAACACAAAAAGAACTTTCTCGTGTTTATGGTGTTCAATTCTGTAGAACAATTCTGCCAGTCTAAATTCAGCAGTATGACCTTGTATCTCTCACGAAAATATAGAAATTGCATTCGAATGGAATGATAATAATAATAATAATAATAATTTTTTTAATTGCTAGTACAAAATACCATTGGAGAAGAAAAATATCATTCTGTTTACAAGTTTCAGAAAACAATACAGTTTATCGTTGTTGAATTTTACAGAAAGTTGGTTCACTGTTGATGTGAAAAGTCCTATTGCTTTTGCCAAAGTGGAGGTCATCGAAGCAGTTGAAATGCAGCCATCAGATAGTAATGGTAGGTTTTTTCTTTTGATGAGGAAAGTGCGGTAGGTCCACTTAGTCAATCAATCAGTAGCTTGTACAGCTTTGTGCAAGATGCCACGTGTTAGAATTTGGTTGACTGTGTGCACTTTTGAAATCTTTCTCATAAGCACCTCATAATTTTTTCCTATCATGACTAGGCAAAGAAATTACACCTCATAATCTTGCAGGCTTAGCAGATCCATATGTGAAGGGTCACCTTGGTCCTTACAGATTCCAGACTAAGATTCAAAGGAAAACTGCGTCCCCTAAATGGCTTGAAGAATTTAAAGTTCCTATTACTTCATGGGAGGCATGTAAAAAGTTGACCATTGAAGTTCATGACAAGGATCACATCTTTGATAACATGCTAGGGTTTGTTACTATTATCAAATGTTGTGACGAAGTTCTAACTTATGCCTGCCCATTTTCTCAACTCTTTCGTTTTTTTACCCTTTTGCAGAAGTTGGTCCATAAATATCACTGATCTCAAAAGTGGGTATAGGCATGAGAAGTGGCTAACACTTAAAACTGGAAGGTTGCGCCTAGCAATCACCATAATTGAGGTTGAATTGGATAAGGTACAATAACAACAATTTTTTTTTTTAAATACTTGAGCACATAATAAAAACTTTTCTTATTTATGAAACTAATACTCAAATTATTAGTATTATTATTTAACTTTAGAATTCATGTATTTGCATGTGCTGCGGCTAAATTATTGAGAATTTAATAAAAATAAAATAGACGGTTTTAATATATGATTGATAATTAAAAAATGAAGAAAATAGTATGTTAGTGTAGTAAATAATCAAAATTTGAATGTTATATATGAAATATGAGATTTTTTTTTTAATTTTTAATTTTTTAATTCTATGCCTCACAGAATTCAGAGATTTTTTTTTTTAATTTTTAATTTTTTAATTCTATGCCTCACAGAATTCAGACAATCAAAGTGATGATGATGGTGATGATGTTGATGATGAGTCTTCTTCAATAGTATCTGAAACAACAAGCATAGGATCAAATCCAATGATTCAAGACTCATCCTATGAGGTTGGTAAGAAGCTCTTTGTAGATAATTTTGAGCCTAAAGATATTGAATTTTGGCTTCATCATCCTGGCGATGAAGCTCCTGTATCATGGGAAAATAAAAGCCCCAAATCATCAGAATCATCTTACAATGAGGCCACAATCACCATTGAAACTCCTGATAAAACAAAAGGTCATACTCATGGGAAGATCCATAGAGGCTTTCACAAGGTTGGAATAGAGATTCACCCTCGCCATAAGGGTCCTAATAATGACTCTCGAGAAGAAGAAAACTCCATGAAAGTTCATATTAAGGAGAAAACTATAGATATAATGAAGCATGCAGGGATGTCTGCGCATAAGTTGAAGAATGCGCTTAAAAGAAAGCTTCATAAGAAATTGAGAGAAGAAGATGAATCAGAAAGCAACTGGTCTGATGTTTCATTGAGATCCAATTCATCTATAGACCCTATCAAAGGTAGTGTTAAGGATGAACATATTCACTCATGAGCCTTACTAATTGCAGAGTTGATTTCGATTTTTAAATTTGGTATAATAGAATAGTAGTCAGATTGCTTGCTATAAAAAAAATTCTTCATAATCATTTTCTGTTCTTTATTTCTCATAATCATAGCTATGGAGCATTCGACCATGCAGTTAATAATTCAAATTTTTTAAAAAAAAAATTGGTCAGGTGATGAAGTTGATTGGGATTAATTAAAAAAATTAAAATTATTTAAAAATGAATGTAACATAAAAACTAATTGATGATTTATATATAATATTAATCTTCTAAAAATTAAAAAAATTTGAAACATATGGAGAATTATTTAGCAAGAATATCGTGACCCAATTTGTCTGCATTTTCTGCGATATTGCACGATAAAGCTGTAAACTGTAGCCTACCATCTGCTAATTCATAAAAGGATAGGGCCAACTGCCACATGCTGTCTTAGCAATCAGACAAAAGGTATGGCTTCTTTTCAGTGTGAAAATGGACAAAAGTTCAATGTCTCTTTTTTTCTTTTACGAGGAAGCACTGTTCTTAGGCCAGTGTAAACCCCGGTCGATCTAACATGCAACCCACACCAATTTACAAAAATTCAATGTCTCAGTATTCAATAAGCTTATGCATCTCATTTTAATTATTTGGTTTCGTCAGTTCAAACTCCCACTTAAGCTCACCAACAAATAGCTTGATAAGCCCTGAAATGTGAGCAGGAGATACTTTATAGCATCATTTGACATGCATTTATGACTTTTTTTTTTTTGGTGCCGAAGCCCATTTTATTCATGAAAGAGTAAAAATACAAGTAAAGAAAATGAAGCTAAAATAAAACCCAGAAAGCTGAACACAAAATAGTCAGCAGTGGGAAGAAATAAAATAGAAAAATAAAAAGCTAAAAACAGCTAGAGCAAACAATCAAAGACTTAGAATGCCAAAACCAAAATTCAGCATCCAGCAAGGAGATTCAGCTCAATAATCCCCTGGTTGCCAAGAGTGACCGTCCTAAGGGCAGTTGGTCAACACCAACATTCATCATTGTCCACCCAAAAAAAAATCATCGACAAGGCAGATCAGCGTGTAGGCCTTGGTTGCTAGAATAGACCTTCCAAAAGACCTCAAAAAAATAATGCCCAGGAACCAAAGACATCGCCAAAGAGCTATAGTCAGAGAAAGAACAAACAAAGAGAAAAGAACTCAAAAGCCCATCACAGAAGAATTGGTAGATTAGTGGAGCAAGTGTTGAAATAAGTGAAAGCTCTTCCATTTTGTGGTTTTGTAAATAATTGTCCTCCTGATTCTTGCTACAAATCGTAGTGTGGCATTCAAAAGATTTACCAAATAGTCTATCATTACGAGCTCTCCAGATGAAATATATGATTGCACACGTCAATAGGTAGTAAAAGCTTCTCGTGTGTTTGCAATCCACTTCTTCAATAATCCAGAAAGTTTGGTATAAATTGGGACGTAAAAGTTAGAGGTCCAATAGGGGAATTAATTTCTTAATGATGCCAAAAGTGAAGTCGCACTCAAAGAAAAAGGTGAGAATGATTTTCTCTAGCAGAAAAACAAAGAATGCAGTTCGGATTAGTTGATACACCTCTCAGAATAAGAGCATCCACAGCTTTTAACTTGTGTTTGAAAGCAAGCCAGACAAAAGCAGAGAAGCACAAAGCATAGCATTTATGCCAAATAAATTTAGAGCTGCTGACAATAGATGAGTCAGAATAAAAGTGCAATTTGAAATTGTCAAGAGTTGGGTTATCAGAGTTGAGCCACAGACAGACATTGCTCGCCTCATAAATCGGCACATAAGTAATAGCAACAGCAAGTGGCAGTGGGAGAGGAGGGAGATTCCAGCTATCATTGATGATTAAAGATTTAACCTGTAAATTAGAGACATTAAGATGGGAAATCTCCAAATATACATCATTCAAGAAAGCAAAGAAAAAATGTAGTTGCTAGTGACCTTGAAGCTTAAACAATGCTGAATTTTCTTTGTCACACCACATAGAAAATTCCAGTAAATAGAAGTATGTGTTGTTGTTATTCCATAGGGAAATATATTTAGCCCTCCACCATTGTAATAAAATATTGTCAGCATTGAAAAACTCCATATCAAGGAGAAACCAAAGGCGTGATAGAGGGAGTCAATGTTAGGGATGCCAATGCACCCCCAAAATTTTTTTGGCTTGCATGTTTCCTTCCAGGCAATCATGTGAAGTTTCTTCTTACCAATATCACCAAAAAATAGAAACATAGAGCAAATTTTGTTAATAGCTTTACAACACCCTTTAGGTATGATAGCCCCCATAATCTAGTAAGCCAAAGTGTTGCATATAGTGAATTTAAGGTATTGAATTCTCCCCGTAAAAAATAAAGTTTTGGCTTTTCAATCGTCCAAGTAAAAGTAAATTTTCCGCATCAAAGGATGAAAATCAGAGATGCATAGCCTCCTAGTGAAGATGGAAAGGCCAAGATACTTGATGGGTGAGTGAGAGATGAGAATGTTAAGAATGCTATTGAAGTAGGAGCCTTTAGCCACATTATTTTAAAAGATAATGTTGCTTTTCTCACCATTAACATGGAGTCCAGAAGGTGCACCAATCTGAAAAAGCAAATCTTTAAGGGCATTGGCATTTTGAAGAGTTGCCTTACCAAACACAAGCAACTCGCCAGCATAAAGGAGATGGGAAACATAAGAGTTACCTATGTTAAGACCCTGAAATAAACAGTTAGAAGTGGCCCCCTCAAAGCAGTAGGAAATTTTGTCCATAGCAATGCTAAAGAGATAAGTTGAGAGGGGGAAACCTTGTCTGAGATCAGAAGAAGAATAGAAGAAGCCATTTAGAGCTCCATTAATTGCAATTGAAAAATGCACATCAATAATACATCCTTTAATCCAAGTAAGGGATGATGTGGGAAAATTTTTGGCAAGCATACGGTCTAGAAGAAAATCCCTATACATCGTATCGAAGGGTTTATGGATATCGAATTTTACAAAGAAATAATTGTTGCTAGCCTTCAAGTTAACGTCCCTTAGAAGTTCAGCTTCCAATAGAATGTTTTCCGATATAATCTTGTTTTTAATAAACCCTGTTTGGCTAGGATGGATGATGAATGGCATGACCCCTTTCATCCTATTAGCAAGGATCATAGCAATAATCTTATAGAAGGTGTTACAAAGAGAAATAGGTTTATAATCAGAGATGTTCGTAGAATGAGGTCTTTTTGGGATTAAGGAAATGACAGTTTCCTTAGCTTGTTTTGGAAGAATGCTAGAGGAGAAATACGATAGCACATCATTACGAAGCTATTTGCCAATAATGTTCTAAGTGGCCTCATAGAAATCAAAAGTGTAACCATCGAAACCAAGGACAGAAGAAGATGGGGAGGAAAAAATAATTTCTTTTATCTCATCCACAGTAATTGGAGCAACTAAATCAGTGGGGAGGGGAATACTATTAGATGAACGCTACATGGGGGTATTAAAAATATTCCTGAAGTGCTAAACAATGGCATTACTAATGTCTTAAGGTTGAGTAAAAACCCCATCAAAAGTAGATATAGCTTTAATCAAGTTAGACTTGTGTCTGGCATTGATTCTAGAGTATATAAACTTTAAATCATCCTCTCTATAAGACATCCATTTGGCTTTGGCTCTTTGAGAAATCCAACTAGACCAAGCAGAGTTGCAATCAAAGAGCATGAGATTGATGGTTTTTAAAGTATCATTTAAAACATGGTATGTAGGCTTACTTTGGATTTGGACCAAATAATAGTTTTGAGAGCTAGAGAGATCCTCCATATCATGTTTGAGCAGGTTAGAGTTGGCCCAGAGTTTTGATTTGATGCATCTAATTTTTAACTTATGGCAGAAAGAGTAAATTGGGCTACTGTGACGATTCTGAGAGGTGTCTATGAGACAATCCCAAAATTCAGGAATTTTGGCCAAAATTTTTTTGTAAGGGAATATAAAGTTTTTGAGGGGAGGGACTTCTGAGATGATGTTAATGGGAGTATGATCAGATATTTATGGTTCACCAACATTATAGTAAGAGTTGGGATATTTTCAAGCCAAGCATCATTAACCAGAACATAATCAAGTTTGATGTGAATAAGACAGTCAGTTCTATGGTTGAACCATGTGAAGTAGTGCCCAATAGAGGACCAATGTTGAAGATAAGATTGTTGAAATCAGCAAGCTGCTGTTAGAAAGTGTCAAGCCACCAGACTTTTCGTGGGGAAACCTATAACAGTTGAAGTCGCCCAAAATAATTTAGGGCATGGTGATATTATCGGCTAGTGCTGAAATATCTTTCCAAAGTATTGGCATGTCCTTAATAGAATTGGCAGCATGAACCACCAAAACACAACAAGATGCAGCGGGACCATTATAAATAATACCATGAATTAATTGCCTGGAAGTGAAATAAGGCCTAGAATTAACATTGAGAGCATTACATTGAATCCAAATTCTGCCATGGCTGGAAAAGGTAAAATTGTCATAGGAACCTTTCTTACTAAAGATGATATTAGAGGAGATGAACCAGTGGTCAGAGGCAGATTGACCTGAGATTTTAGCTTCCAAAATAAAAAGAAGATCCAAATTATATCTATTAACTAATTGCTTGCAACACATAACCTTGTCCGGGCTATTAAACCCATGAACGTTCCATCCGCCCATTAGGGGAAGGGACATTGAGATTTGGAGGTGGGGGTGGATGCTTTTTTTGGCATTTTGGTTCTTATGGGCTTGGTGCCAAGCGATTCTGATTTTGATTGTGAGGTCGTAATAGTATCATGACAGTGCTGATTTGGGTTTGGTGTTCTGTGGTGGCATTGCTTGTTCGGTTGGTGCGCCAGAATCCCTGTTTTGATTTGCACTTGGGTCAGGGTAATTGGAGCAAGAGGGGGTATGAATTTCCTGCTGCTCAGAGAGAGTAGATATTTTTTTATTGGTGGTAAGAAAGGGGGACTGATGGGGGGGGGGAGACAATCAAGGAAAAAATTGGTGCCAGGGTTGGGCTCAGAGGAGGTTGGGGGGAGTTGAGGTTTGAGATGCAAGTTGGATTAGAGGATGGGGTGGAGGAGCTTGG